GGACATGGAGATTAGTTTTGAGCCCGGTATGTTGGAGAAGGGTGAGGAAATCGTGAAATGGAAGCTGGAAAAATAGCACGAGAGTGAAACACCGTGGGAAGCTCGTTTACGGAGAATGGAAGAGAGGAAGGCGGAGAAGAGGTGATAGAGAAAGCAAAGCTTTGCTAGCGAAAACGGGGAAGAGGATGAAAATGGAGTGGCTGAGGACACTGTCCCCAGGCCGACAAGTAGAGCGAAGAATACTGAGTGCGTGGTGAAGAAGCAGGTGTATTTGACTTAAGTTACTCCACCACGGGGCATGCACCAGCCATCGGGTTCCCGTACTAGTGGATGCAAAATCACCGGTGCACTGTCATCGTCGCCTTCTGCGATATCGATGCTTGTTGGTGGTGCAGAGTGCATGTTGCTTGACATTTTGTTGACGGGAGGGGGGCGGGGGTGTAGAGATTGCTTGTGCCGCGGATGATAAAGATGGGTTCCCTCTGCAGACCCACCGCAAATGGATAATTCGCTAGGGGGAACGGTGTAGGGAAGAAGAAATGGGCAGGTGATGCTTGCGATTTTGAGTAGAAGCTAGGATAATGAAGCAGTGTTCTGACAACCTAACGTTTATGGAATTGAATCTATTGCTAAATAAAGAGTCTCATTAAGTGGTGCGGAGCAGATTCTTGATACCATTGCCCCGCCTCAAAGAACATGTCAGCAGCAATAGTACAATATGTTGTTTCAGTGGATTGTCATTGTGCAATACTTTATATGAATATCACAATTGCAACAGCGTTCCTCGTAAAAATATGATACCGAAATTAGCGTTTTCACTTGGTACATCAATACCAATAAAACAATATGTAATGCCGGTTGCCTCATTAAAATAAACAAAACCATTACGATATGACCTTGCAGTGTAATAGCAAAAAGAGTGAGAAAATACTACTATTGTTAAAAACCCCAAAAAATGGAGGAGTGATTTCGGACTCATTCTGATCACTATGATAATTGTCAGCATTACTAAATCATTGTTCCAAAGTCAGCATCGTAGGGTATGCACACTGTTACTTTAGTAACGAAATTGACTATATGACTTACCAGTGGCCGCATTACACCACGCCGATCTCCCACCAAAATTCTGGGAAGATGCAGTACGAGATGTAGCCTTCAAATACAACATCATGCGGCATAGCGCCACCCAACAAAGTCCATGGACACTCTGGCACGGACGCCCAGCCCACATGACCCGCATCTTCGCATTCGGGCAAATCGGCACCGCCCCCATACACGCCCACAAAACCAAACTACAAGGGCGCAGCGAACCCGCAAGATATATGTACCCCATATCGGAAACCCACGTCATGACCCTCACCATACACAACCCCCGATACCGCATCATCAAGGCGACCGACTTCCGACCATACGCCAGGCACCAGGACCCCAAGCACACGTCCAGCCGAGCTTTCAATGTCACAACCTCACGACACAAAAAGCGGCAAGGCACGCGCACACCAACAAGACAAAACCCACCGCCCAGCAAAATCGACGCCACCACCACCGCTCCCCGGCACGTAAAAGCAGCGCGCAAATACCCGGACGCCCAGCAATGGGCAGCAGCACACAACGACGAGCTAGACATCCTAGACAAACAGCGCACTATCAAATGGATCCCAGCGACAAAAGTGCCGCCCAATGAGAAGCTCATCCCATTAACCATGACATACCGGTACAAGCGCACACCCGACGGCAAAATCGCGAAACGTAAAGCCCGTTGCTCTATACGAGGTGACCGCATGAAGGCAGGACAGCACTTCGACCCAAAGAGAACATCCACATTCATGGGCGAAAAGACATCTGTACGCACCTTACTCGCAATCGCCGCAGCAAACGAATGGACCGTACAATACATGGACATCACCACAGCATACCTCCATGAGTCCCACGACCAAAAATTCCCCGTCTACGTCCGCCAGCACCCACGATTTGACGGCACAATGAAACATCCCCACCAAGCGGGACAGCTTCTCGGCAACCTCTACGGAGGCCGTTCAGCGGGACATCGCTACACATCCGGACTGCAAGAACACCTAAAATCGCACGGCTACCGCCAATGCGACAGTGACCCCTGCCTGTTCAACAGCGCCAAGGCCGACAGCACGCTGCTCGTCACCGTCAGCATGGAAGATTTTTTAGTCACCGCGTCGCACCAACACCTAATCGACGACCTCCTGGCCACGCTGCAGAAGAAGTACACCATCAAGAACCTCGGTTTTCCAACCACGTATCCCGGTTGGCAGATCAGACGAGATGCACAAGGCAGCATACACGTATCACAGCAACAGGCCATCGAAACCATTCTCCAGAAGCACAACATGGCCGAATGCAACCCCAAAACCACACCCGTGCCGCAAAAACCAAACAAAACAACACTGAACGAGACGGCACCCATTTACCCCACCCTAGCCAGCCACTATCGCTCCATCCTCGGAGACCTGAGATATATCGTCGACAGCACTCGATATGACGCATATCATACCAGTAACCAGCTAACAAGACACAGCCAGCAACCGACCCAAGCAAACTGGCATCAGCTCAAATGGTTACTACGGTACCTCAAGGGCACCAAAGCCCAAACCATATCCTACCACGCCAGCTCACCCGTCTGCCTCCGAACGTACAGCGACGCCGACTACGCAAACGCGAAAAGTCGCAAGTCACTCACAGGAATTATCCACACAATCGGGCACTCACCGATAGCATGGATCTCCTCTCCGCAAGACGTCGTGGCCCTATCCACATGTGAAGCTGAATATATAGCTGCCTCCCGCCCAGCTCAACAAACACTATGGCTCCGCCGACTGTTCGAGGACATGCATCACCCCCAAAAACACCCAACCACCATCTTCATAGATAACAAATCAACCATCCAGATAGCCGAAAACTCGGCCCCCACACGTCGCCGCAAACTCATCGATGTGAGGCACCACCACCTCCAGCACCACATTCAGAGCGCGAACATAGCAGCAGAGCACATCCCCACCGTGCACAACCCCGCCGACCTGTTCACCAAAACGCTAGGCCCCATTCGGTTTAAGAAGCTGTGCCAAATCATTCAACCAAACGGCACTCGCAGCCCGGATCCAAGAGCACACCCCAGCTCCACATCCGCGCGCACCCCTCAGCGTCCCCCGGGACTGACGGACCGCAAATCTCTTCATCAGACGCTGAAGGGTGCACGCGTCACGGACCGCAAGGACAGACTGTCCGCATTACAGTCTGTCACACGCGGTACTTAGACCCACGAGACGGCGACGACGAGTAAAGACCGAACCATGAGGATTACGATTTATCATCCGCCTTTTACAACGGAGTGGTGCGATACTGACTGATCTCAGCCGCGAGAGTATCTGTTTTATTGAGATTGAAGGAATACGGTACAGTACACGTATGTAAATTTACCTCAACCAATGCACTGCCTCCATTTCTAAGTTACCGTACAAGTCCATCTGTCCATCTGTTCCTCTGTCTATCTCGCTCTCCCAGCTGTCTTAAAGGAGGCCCTGAGGGTCTCCACTCACTCTTGCTGCTCGCAACACAGACACGCCATCACGGCAGGCACGCCATCACGGCAGGCAATCAGCTGATAACCACAGCGGTTCATGCAAACGAGTTGACTTTACCCGACGGCCGCAGCCTCATGAAGACCTGTAAGACGAAAGGAGGTAACGCGGAGTTCGTACAACCCGCCCCCCCCCCCGCCCCCTCCCTCTCTCCCTCTCTCCCTCTCCTTCTCTCCCAGCCTGTCTCCTGGCCGCCATTGCTGCCTAAAGCCGCCCACGCAACCCTAGCAAGCCCCTATCCAATTCCCTCACAAGAGAGAGTAGCCTCCCTACACTCATCGCCACAACACAAGCCAAAACACCCCGTCCTCCTTACAGTCCACCTACCGCACGCCCAGTGCGGCCCACATCATAAACTTACCCGAAGCCACCGTTCCAATAAATTCTCTCAGTCTACTGTCTAGGACAATTCCTCATGTCGTCCTCCGCGCACGCCAACTTCACCCGAAACCGTCTCCAAGTCCCCGCCACCACCAGCGTTCCCTCATAGTCCGCGAGGAGCTGCCCCGCACAGTTAAGCTGCCCCACACCGAACGGCGCGAGCATCCCGGCCCTCACGCGCCCCGCCCTCCCCTCATCAGTCCACCGTCCCGGCCAGAACTCTTCCGCCCTCTCCCCATCTGGGCTTCCGTCAGCATCTGCTCTCGTGCCCCACCCCCCACCTCGCGCTGCAGCTCGGCGGCGATGCCGCCCGCCACCGCCCCTGACCGGCCCACCTCGCACATGCACCACGCCAGCGTCTGGGTGGTCGTGTGCGAGCCGGCGAGCGCGAACTCCATCACCATCGACACGAGCGCCTCCTCCGTCGTGTCCCTCAGCACCAGCAGCGCTTCCAGCATGTCTGCCGGCCGCGCCGCCCCTCGCACAGGTCGTCCACGGCGGCGGCCATGGCCGCGTGGAACTCGCGCATGGACGGTTGAACGCGACGGGCAGCGCGCGGCATAGAGAACAGCTCGCCGCACACAAACGTGGCGAACAAGCGCAGCATCTTGGGCGCGTGCGCAAACACGCGCGCGTCCCTGACGTGCGCGATGTCGCCCAGGTGCGGCGTGACCAGCACGCGGGACGCGCCGACACGCATCATGAGGACCGGGCCAGACGCGCCCGACAGCTGCAGCAGCGCGTCGCTCACGCACAATGGGTCGCGGAAATCGTCGCGCACCAGCCCTGGGCGCAGGAAGGAGAGCAGGTGCGGGCCCAGCACGAGCGAGAGGCACGGACGGCACGCGACGAGGAGCAGGACGAGGGAGAGAAGCAAGGCCGGGAGTATAGTTCCAAACGGTGGGAGGGGGGGCGCTGCCATGGTGGGCCGGCGTGGAGGGGCAGGAGAGGGTGGGTCGCGACGTGCTCTGCCAGGGGCCGCGATAAGGTGCACAGGTTGTGGGACGGGATGGTTAGTGATCATGATGATTCAAGTGTGCTGTACACGTGCAGGTTCTGACATCTACTATGACTGTTGATCATCTCAAAGCATCACATGCATGAGCCACCCTACCCTTGTATATACGTAAGCTAAGTGCGTTATTGTACCGGTAACAGTTTCCGTTTCGAACCATTCGTCCCAAGGATATTGCCGCACTTGTATCTTCGCTTTTATTTCCTTCCGCCCCGTCTCTCGAAAGAACGAGATAGTTCATCTCGACTATGCCACTTTCGGCAACACGCGCCGGTGGAACTACTCTCGCGACAAGTCTGTTTCTTTAACGCCGAGCACCAGAACTGATGTGATGTGATTTCTCACATCACTTTTCGCTTTCCAATGCATGCGTTGCGTCGCCTGCGGAAGCCGTGCTTTTATTCCGGCCTCCCGTCGCTCGCCACCTTTCGCGTCAACTCTACACTCCCGTCTCAGAAAACCCTACATGCAATCATCCTCCTACATACTATTTATCTAACCACAACTATTCCTCCCAACCATCAAAGTCCCTCTCAGCGCAGCTCTACATACATCGGAATGCCCTCCTCCTGCCCGGTGCTCTTATTCAAGTACCGCGGGAGATCGACAAAGTTGGACCGGTTGACAACCTCGTCCTTCTCACACGCGAGCTGAAACTTGAATCGTCTATGCAACTCTGCGATAATCAACGGGCCCTCATAATCCGCGAGGAACCTGCCCACGCACTTTATCTTCCCTAACGCGAACGCCGCGTACGCCCCGAACGGCACGCGCTCCGCCTCGATGCCGCGGCGGCCCCACCGCTCGGGCCTGAACTCGTCGGCCTTGCTCCAGATGCCAGGGTGCGTCTGCATGCGCTTGATGTTCCCGTACAGTATCGTGCCCTTGGGCAGGCGCACCCCGGTCCCCTTGAGCGTCACGTCCTCCGTCACCACGCGCTCCAGCAGCGGGCTGATGGGGTGCAGCCTCGTGCTCTCTTTCCAGACGTTCCGCACGTACTCAAGGGTATCCACCTCCTCGAACGACAGCATCTCATCGGCGCCCTTGCCGCCAAACTTGCGCGCAAGCTCCTCGTGCACGGCCTCGCGCGCGCGCGGCACGCAGCACGTCTCGTACAGGCTCCACGTCATCGTCTGGCTGGTGGTGTACGAGCCTGCGATCGCGAACTCCACGATGAGCGAGGCCAGCTCGTGCTCCGGGACCTGGTCCAGGCTCAGGATGGTGTCCAGCATGTCGGGCGCGCGCGCCTCCTTGTCAGCGCGGGTCTCCGCCAGGCGGCGCTGCACAAACTGGTTGCACATGGCATAGATGCGCTTCTTGCACGCGAACAAGCGGGCGCGCGAGCCCGCCCACTCGAACGCCGCGCGCACCCAGTACTGCACGTACTCCAGCATGAGCTCCTCGGAGAGGATGTCGATGTCGGCGGCGAACTTGAGGCAGTCGGCGGGGGAGAAGTCGCCGCCGAAGGCGACGTTGAGGATGATCATGAAAGTGGTGGACGAGAGGAGGGTGGAGATGTCGACGGGCTTACCTGCGGCGGCGGCGCGGCGGAGGGCCTCGCACAGGGTGTCCACGGCGCGCTTCATGGCGGGATGGAAGCCGCGGAGCATGGAGTGGTTAAAGTTGCGGTGCAGGGCGGCGCGCACGACGCGGTGCTGCTCATGCGACATGGCGAAGATGCCGCCGGGGACGGCGAGTTCGAAGATGGCGCGCATGCGCGGCGCGCGCGGGAAGAGGCGGGTGTCGGAGGACATGTGGACCATGTCGGCCGGGTCGGTCGTGAAGACGACGCGCGAGAGCCCCAGCCACAGGGCGAAGACTTCGCCGTGCGTGCGCGAGATGGCCGACAGGCACTCCGTGAGGCGGTTCGGGTTGGCGTGGAAGGTGCGCACGGGCCCCGGAAGCAGCACGGACAGCAGCGGCGGGCCGCGGAGATACGGGCGGCGTGGCAGCAAGTACAGGACGAGGAGCAAGAACGGGAGGAGGGGGAGAAGGGCGTACATTGTGGAGGAGGTGGTGGGTGCGGCAGAGGGTTTGTGGCGGCGGGGGTCGGGGGGCTTGTTATATGCTGGAGGCAAAGGAGGTTGCGGCGGGATGAGATGTGAGTCACATCTCATCCGCGCCCACAAGTCTCCACCATCTCACATGATGTGAGCGCCCACAAGTCTCGAGCGGCCACAAGTCTCCACCATCTCACATCGATGTGAGCGCCCACAAGTCTCGAGCGCCCACAAAGTCTCCACCATCTCACATGATGTGAGATGGTGGAGACTTGTGGGCGTGGGTGCTGGACATACGCGCCTATCACAAAAGCCGGGCGGTCTGTACGAGGCTTGACAGAGGCGGCAACGCAAAAGTTGGTTCTGGCAACGCTCGTGCCGGAACTACATACGTTTCGTGGAGAATGCGTGGCGCCCGTCAATAGGCCTTTTCGACGAAAGCGTGCGCACTGTCGAGATCACGATCACATAACTACCCTTCCGCATCAGGGTGATTTGGAGAATATGGTTCGCTGAATCACTTTTTCGCTTGTCTGTCACATTACAGTAGAACAGAGAATAAAGACCCGGTAGGTTGGAGCTCTATCTCCCCCTCTCAGGGGGAGATACCAAGCTACCGGGTCTTTATTCTCTGTTCTACTGTAATGGCTCCGATTTTGTGTGGAATCACAACTGCTGTGTCGTTTGTCTGTAAGGATGCAAGCAGACCGAGCGTCGTTCCTTCTTTTTGAGGGCCGTTCCTAGCGAAGAGTTCCGGCGTGCTAGCACGCAAGCACCCTGACATTTGGCATGAATGGATTGGTTGAACGG